TGATATCACGTGACACATTTCTAACAAGAACAAACATTAAGCCTTGTTACAACCCCTATTGTAATAACAACCCCTATTGTAATAAATGTAATAATTTTACTAAAATTTCCCACTAACCCCTATGGTAATATCAACCCCTATTGTAATAACTGTAATTAATGTATTTTACCATACAATAAATTCGACATCTAAAATTAAAAGTCAATGGATTTTGAAAACCCATTGAATATCAATATATAGGAGTAATGGTATACTGCATAGAATATTATGAAACAACGCGACCGAAAACATGATTAAAAGCCGTTAACGAGTTTGGAGAAATTATTAAAATAGAATGTCAGCCCATATTGTAATCAACGATATTTAACAAAAAAGTAAAATATGTTCTCTAAACTATATGTCGTCTGAGAATAATCCTCCTGATAGCATTTTTTAAAATCCTTCTCTACACTTAAACACATTTATTACAATAGGGGTTGATATTACAATAGGGGTTACACGGTATAACCCCGATTGTAATAAAATTTATGTCAACCCCTATTGTAATAATTGTAATAAATGTGTTTTGCCATGTCAATAAAATCGACACCTAACTTTAAACGTCTATGGATTTTGACCACCATATCCGTATCAATATAATTTTTATAAGAGTACTGGTATAAATTTATACTGTATAGAATATTATGAAAAAAACCCATCGAAATCATGTCTCAAAGCCGCTTGGAGAATTAATAAAATGGAAAGTCAACCCCTATTGTAATCAATGATACTTAAATAAACGTGAAGTAGGTTCTTTGAACGATCGGTCGTCTGGGGATTTTGAACATCTTTTCCGTATGCATATCAGATAAAATAATTCCCCTGATTCCATTTTATAAATTCTCCTCTGCAGTTAGACACATTTATTACAATAGGGGTTGATATAACCCCTATTGTAATAAACAATAAGGGTTGATAGAAATTTTATTACAATAAGGGTTATGCCGTGTAACCCCTATTGTTAAATCAACCCCTATTGTAATAAATGTGCCTAAGTGTAGAGAAGAATTTAAAAAATGCTATCAGGAGGATTATTTTATCTGATATGCACACGGAAAAATGTTCAAAATCCTCAGACGACAGAATTTTCAGAGAACATACTTTACGTTTATTTAAATATCATTGATTTGATTACAGTAGGGGTTGACATTTCATTTTAATAATTCTCCAAACGGTTTTAATTGTTTTCGGTGGTTTTGTTTCATAATATTTTATACAGTATAAAGGCATACCATTATCTTATATGTTGACACGGAAATGCTGATCAAAATCCATAGACATTTAAAGTTAGGTGTCGATTTTATAGGTATGGCAAAACACATATATTACAATTATTACAATAGGGGTTGACATAAATTTTATTACAATAGGGGTTATGCCGTGTAACCACTATTGTAATATCAACCCCTATTGTAATAAATGTGTCTAAGTGTAGAGAAGGATTTTTAAAAAAATGCTATTAGCAGGAATATTTTGTCTGATATGCACACGGAAAAGATTTTCAACATCCTCATTTTAATAATTCTTCAAATGGTTTTGAGACATGTTTTCGGTGGTTTTGTTTCGTAATATTCTATACAGTATAAAGGCCTACCATTATCTTATATATTGATACGGAAACGGTGATAAAAATCCATAGACTTTTAAAGTTAGGTGTCGATTTTATTGGCATGGCAAAACACATTTATTACAATTATTACAATAGGGGTTGACAGAAATTTTATTACAATAGGGGTTATACCGTGTAACCCTTATTGTAATATCAACCCCTATTGTAATAAATTTGTCTAACTGCAGAGGAGAATTTAAAAAATGCAATCGGGGGATTTTTTTTTATCTGATATGCACAAGGAAAAGATGTTCAAAATCCCCAGACCACCGATATTTCAGAGAACATACCTCAGTTGTTTTTTAAATATCATTGATTACAATAGGAGTTGACTCTCCATTTTATTAATTCTCCAAACGGCTTTGAGACATGATTTCAGTGGGGGTTTTCATAATATTCTATACAGTATAAATTCATACCAGTACTCTTATATATTGATACGGATATGGTGATCAAAATCCATAGACATGTAAAGCTAGGTGTCGATTTTTTTGACATGGCAAGACACATTTATTACAATTATTACAATAGGGGTTGACAGAAATTTTATTACAATAGGGGTTATACCGTGTAACCCCTATTGTAATGTCAACCCCTATTGTAATAAATGTGTCTAAATGTAGAGAAGGATTTTTAAAAATGCTATCAGGAAGATTATTTTATCTGATATGCACACGGAAAAGATGTTCAAAATCCTCAGACGACAGATAGATTAGAGAAAATTTTTTACGTTTTTGTTAAATATCGTTGATTACAATATGGGCTGACATTCTATTTTAAAAATTTCTCTAATCTCGTTATCGGCTTTTAATCATGTTTTCGGTCGCGTCGTTTTATAATATTCTATGCAGTATACCATTACTTCTATATATTGATATTCAATGGGTTTTCAAAATCCATTGACTTTTAAATTTAGAAGTCGAATTTATTGTATGGTAAAATACATTAATTACAATTATTACAATAGGGGTTAATTGAAATTGTATTACAATTATTACATTTATTGCAATAGGGGTTGTTATTACAATAGGGGTTGTAACAAAGCCTACTTAAAAATCTGTTTTCAAAATTCCCCGAAATTGATGTTCCGGATAGGAGACATCAAACCAGACCGGTAAACATACACAATCTACGATTAATTAATTAGTTAGAAAAGAAATGGCTGCCATGTAAGTAAATATATTTGGGTTTGATATAGTAGACCTATTAATATTTAGATTGTAAAGGTATTTACTAAACAATAATTGTCGTTTCGTTTAATTTAATTGGCATGTTTATGTTCTGGATAGGAGACATCAAACCAGACCGGTAAACATACACAATCTACGATTAATTATAATTCAAATAATTTGACAGATTAATTTTCTTATGATACAATACAATGTTTAAGGTTCGATATAATGTGTCTTTTGGTATGTCAAGCCACCTGTGTCATTGCTCCATTACAAAACAAAATATAATACATTTCATAGTTTTTAGTTTCAAATATCTACATTAATATATATTTAAATTTTGGATAAAATACAGCCGTGTCAACATCTAAACCTAATACGAATCTGTCTAGCCAGCAATGAATTTCAAGGAAAGCTTTTATTTCACTTTTATTCTATTTTCATTTATATTATAACCTAATCATTCAGGTTATAAAACCATCCCGTATCTCTGAAACTATACCCAACATTAACGATAACTATTTCAGATTATATAGAACTACTGTAATCAGGCCCAATTAATATAAAACGAAATGTCATTTCCATAAACCTTGAAATTGGGGATTTAAATATGGTAAATATGAATGAAATCCTGAAAAGCCAAATGGTCTTTTAGATAAAGAGATTATACCCAATTTCAAGTTTAATTTTCAAGATGTTGTCTACTGTGTTGTATATAAGTTTAGTTTTTGTTACGATATATGAAATACAACTTCTGTCATTTGGCACATTTTCTTACATGAATATTGTAATAACAATATAAGTAAATTAACAATATTTAATGCTTTTTCATTGTTTAAATTCTTATGTGTTATTATACCTCAGTGTTTAATTATACTGGTGAGATTTATATATATATATTAATATTTCATGTAGTTTCTGTGATATTATTTGAGAATATTCGCATTGAGTCAAGAGATGGTTAAATTTATATATGAATATATTCTACAAAATCAGAATGATTATTTAACACCGTTATCTAATTTCAATATTAGGCACATTGTCTCGACGCCTTTTTATACAAATTTATTTCAGAACTGGTATAAAATATACACATGTTATATTAATAGATTGGTTCCCTTCAAAAATCAATTAATTTGGAATAATCATAATTTAAGAATTACCATTAAGTCTTCAATTAAGAATAAATTAATTAACGATTTTATTTGTTGGGGATATCGCAGACATGAATCTTTCCGAATATGACAATTATCTTATCAAGTTAATGGAGATCTATCAAATTTTGGTTAACATTAAAAAGGTAAAGGAAACAATAACGGAAACGGAATAAATTTGGAATACTAAAATTTGTGAAAATAGATTAAAAACAAATTTAAATATCTTGTTAGAAATATTATAACAAAAACATATCAAATTTAACCTGATAAGATATCTACAAGATACTTATACAAAATAACTACACAAAACTGCCAGCTATAGTCAAATTAATGGGAAAATATTATATTATTACCGTAGAAAAAAAAACAATTTAAACATATTTTTTCACTGATACAACGAATAACTAAAGATTCAAATATGGTAACATTTGATTTTAGATATATTCAACATATAATTTATCTAAATAATCGCTTATATAAAATGATAACATTTAGATAAAATTTACCTAAACAATCGCTTATATAAAATGAGATTATCTAACTGTGTGATTTTTGTAATTCTACAACTGAATGCGAATATTCTCAAATAATATCACAGAAACTGCATGAAATATAAATCTATGATAATATATAAATCTCACAAGTATAATTAAACACTTAGGTATAATAACACATACGAATTGAAAAAATGAAAAAGCATTAAATATTGTTAATTTACTTATATTGTTATTACAATATTCATGTAAGAAAATGTGCCAAATGACAGAAGTTATATTTCATACATCGTAACGAAAACTAAACTTATATACAACACAGTAGACAACATCTTGAAAATTAAACTATACAAACTTATTATTATAGATTAAATATATAATATATTACAGTATTATCAAAGTATATCACTCAAAAAAACGTGCGATCTACAATTAATTTAAATTAAAAGAAACATCAATAATTATTTAGTAATATACAACGTAAATATATAATAGTTGTATAATTTCAATATCAAACATATTTACTTACTTCGAAGCCATTTCGTATCTAACTGCTACGCCAAAGACCACACTAGTGACAAGAAATAATCTGTGCGCGCTAGTTAAATGATTCCCATGCAGGGTGTGTCTATCGTAGTCTTTATTACTGTGTCGGTTGATAAACGTTGTGTATATCAGAAAGTATTTACGTGATGATCCAGGCTATTGCATGTACATGACGTCATTTTTTCGTAGAATTTTGAAATGATTTCCATTATCTATTTTTATAGATAGGTTTATAAAGGAGATGATATCATCGTAAACGAATAATTCAGATAATAAAGACATCCTGTATCCTGTTTTGAAAAAATGAAAAAGCATTAAATATTGTTAATTTACTTATATTGTTATTACAATATTCATGTAAGAAAATCTGCCAAATGACAGAAGTTATATTTCATACATCGTAACGAAAACTAAACTTATATACAACACAGTAGACAACATCTTGAAAATTAAACTATACAAACTTATTATTATAGTTTTAATATATAATGTTTATTTCCTTATGTTTTCAAAATGTATTAATTTCTCAGTACTAATTTAAATTGGTTTAACCCCGCAATGCCCCCCCCCCCCCCCAACAAACCATGTCATGGCGGAGAGGTGTGAATTAACTGAATCAACTAGCGATTTCATGGAAAGGTTTTATTTCACTTTCATTTCATTTTCTGGTCACCTCTCTATCATTTTAATTTTCGTTAAATTCTATTCTATTTTGAGGTGGTGGTTTATTTTTAGGTTTATCATTTTAATTGGTTTTTCTTTTACATAATTGGGGGGTTGGATGGCTAAATGGTTAGCGTGCGCGCGCTGTATCATAAAGTCTGTCATTGAGTCGACTGGCGTGGTTTCGAATCCCCGGTTGTACGTGGCAAGGAGTAGGGTCGCCTGTCCAACCTCGTGGGTTTTCTTCGGGTCCTCCGGTTTCTTCCCACTGCTAAAGACCCCTACGCGCAAGCGAATTATGTAACTAAAAAATTAAACCATACGTTAGTCCCGAAATGACCTAGTTTGTGTCGAGTGGACGTTAAACCCCATTTCTCTCTCTCTCTTTTTACATAATTACTGTATAGTCAAATGGTAAAACATCAAGTCCAATACCACGTGTAATTATTTTAATTCTTATTGACATTACCGACTATTATCGAGGATAATTGGTCAAGATTACCTTAAGGGGAACGAAGAGGCGGACAGACTCGGCCTCAAGGGGTGACAATTGGAGGAACCTAGTGTCGAGCTCCCTTATAGCATGAACGAATTTAAAAGTATGGTCGGGTTACGCGTCAGCTCTGAATGGGAAAACTCCCTTGCGGAACTCGACACCTTTATATTCAGATCCGATGAGTCCTTAAATGCTAAGTTATCAGTAAATCATCCCAGCAGAAAAATCTGACGGTTAATAACAAACCTGAAGTTGAAAGAAACGCTCCGATATCGCACATTTAAGCCTATAAGGTGTAGCTGTGGCTCGGACGTGTCTCCTACTCATATTCTAGTAGACTGTGCTCGCCTCACAGCCGAAAGGAAACCCTTCACGGATAAACTGAGTTCCCTTAACACGGCTCTCGGTGTTCCGAACTTACTGTATCCAAAAGTAAGCAATCACGAAATCTATGAGTTAATCTACGAATTCGTGTGTGAGATCGGTATCCTAGATATGATGATGTGACCCCACAGGGACGAAAAGAGTGTTCTACTCTGTGAAGATTTGGGGGCCCACCCCAAGACCCAGCGGACGGGATCCATAAGTGATCATCCCGAGGGCTACTGCCAGTCGGACGCCCCTACGTGAAGGGACGTCGGGTACCTGTGGAGGGACGTTTTCTGTTTCGGCTCCAAGGCCTGCGGCATTTCAATGCCTGGCCCAGAAACATCGCTGCATCCCTGAACCTCCGTCGGATAGGCGGCGTAGCCCTGGGGCCCGGCTGACAGTCCTACCTACCCCTACCGACCCAAAAGGTCGGAGCATATATGCACCCTATATCTAGGTCGGACAGGCGGCGGGCCCAAGGGCCCGACTGACCGTCAGACCAACTTACCTACCCAAATCAAGATCGTAGCATTAATGTCCAAGCGGGCCAGACTGCGCCCTCTCGCCATCCTTCCTCTTCTACCCCCAAAAACTTTCTCCTCTCCTTTCGATGAGATTTTTACCTTGGGCATTCCCTGATAAGACACTATGTATCAAATTAAACTGGACCAAGCCTAATCCCTACGGCTTCCTCCAGTAAGTTCCCTAGGAAACATCTTTGTCTAGGTGGAAGTGGACGTAAACCTCTTGAAACGAACGAACAATTTTAAATTTATACACCGTATTTAGAGTTATGGCCCTTGATATTAAATGTTTTGTATACGTTAGTATAAGACAGAACTAGAAGCCAAACGAATTCTAACGCTTTCTGATAATAACTTAATAGCTTGTTACTCGTACTCAGATTTTAATATTTTGTAAATGTTTTCATTACTGACAAATGAAAAAATATGCGACAACCCTTGTTGACTGCCCGGGCGATGTAACTTATGTGTCGTTGTCTGGCAACCTATCTTTTAGAATATTAATCATCTATTTGTTGCGCCAGCTATATAAGATTTATTCAACAATGATGAGAACAAAATAAACTCTGATCAAGTTGTATTTTATTATTAAACAGGAATTGTCATTTTATACTCCCGCATGTTCACGTGGACGTATTATACAGTCGCTTCTGTCCGTCCGGACGTCCGTTCATATTATAATTTATTTATATTTCAAAGATCTCGGGTTTTTTTTTGATAATTGCATTATTTTACCTTAATTTTATAGATTAGAGTCCCTGATTGCACGAAATATCTCCTGTTTGAACTTGCGGACCCTGTAGAGGTCAGATTTTGATGAAGCGTAATATGTATGGTTTAATGGTCGAGAGCGAAACATTAAGTAATATATTGAAACAACACGAGGGACGTAGTCACGAGATATTGTTTCAATATATTACACAATGTCTTTAGCTTGATACCATTAAACAACTTAAAATACAGACACTACCCAGCATGTGATTTTCAATGAAATACGTCACGCGAGTCCAATATTTTATCTAGTATAGATAATGTACGATTGACAAGTTGCCCGTATATTATTGGATGTGTTTGAGTTTGATATAATACAAATATATATTTACTGAACAATAAATGTCGTTTCGTTTAATTTAATTGGCATTTTTATTTTCTGGTTAAGAAACATCAAAGCAAACGATTAATTATAATTAAAATAATTTGACAGATTAACTTTTAATGACACGATACGATGTTTTGGGTTCGACATAATGTGTCTTTTTGTAGGTCAGACACCTGTGTCATTGCTCCATTACAACAGAAATTAATGATGCAGGATGACTGCATGCATTTCATAGTTTTTAGTTTCAAATATCTACATTAATATATATTTAAATTTTGGAAAAAATAAAGCCATGTCAATATCTAAACCTAATACGGATAAGTCTAGCCAGCAATGAATAATTAGCCGCTAGTCGGATTCACTGAATCAACTAACGATTTCAAGGAAAGCTTATTTCACTTTCATTTTATTTTCTTGTTATTTTCTAGCCAGCAATGAATCATTCGGGTTATAAAACCATCCTGTATCTCTGAAACTATACCCAACATTAACTATAACTATTCCAGATAATATAATGTCAGACTGCCATAAGATTATATAGAACTATGGTAATCAGGCCCAGATAAAATCAAATGAAATGTCATTTCCAAAAACTGTGAAATGGAGGTGCTTAAATATGGTACATTTTAATGAAATCTTGAAGAGCCAAGGTGTCTTTTGGATAAAGAGATTATACTCAGAACAAGAACAACAATGGACAATTATTTATGAATATATTCTACAAAACCACAATGAATATTTAATACCGTTATCTAATTTTAATATTAGGGACATGGTCTCGACACATTTTATTCAAATTAATTTCAGAATTGGTATTAAATATACACATTTTATATTGATAGATCAACTGATATGGAATAATCATAATTAAAGAATTAAGTCTTCAATCAAGAATATTTTAATCATACTGTTTGAATGGCATTTAGTAATTGAACACATTAAAAAATCAAATCAAAGAAGAAAACATTAAAGGCTCAATACCACTCTTGTTGTAACTGAATAATATGTCCTAATCTTTATTCTGGTCAACAAATTGTACTATTTTAGAATATTTCAATTAATTGATGATACAAATTTCATCTTAACAAACCTTGTTTAGAAATTTTGAAAAATTCAACATAATGGTTTGAAACGTCTAACGTAAACCTTTTCAAATGAAACTTCGATTTAAAAATATTTTCGAACCCTCTTGACAAGTAAAATAGGATGTAATGGATAATTTACACAACAGGTAGGACAATTAAACATCTAGTACTTAGATAGAGATATTATTTATTTTCTGGAGCTTTCAAGCCAGCAAGAGTGTTATTGTCCCTTTAAAATAACACAACAGTTCTATGGATAACAATTACTGTATTTCTATTAAAGCTACGTTTCAACATTGTTTTGTATATGTTAGTATACGCAATAACTAGAACCCAAACAAATTGTAAAGGTTTCTGATAATAACTTAATAGGTTGTTACTCGTACTCAGATTTTAGTGTGTTGAAAATGTTTTCATTACTGACAAAAGAACAAAATATGTGACAACGCTGGTTGACTGTCCGGACGATTTAACTTATGTTTCGTTGTCTGGCAACCTATCTTTTTGAATATTAATCATTTAATTGTTGTGCTAGCTCTATAAGATGGATGAGAAAAAATTAAAGGCCTTATCGATTTGTGTTTTATTATTGAACAAAAATTGACCTTTTATACTCCCGCATGTTCACGTGGACGTATTATACAGTCGCTTCTGTCAGTCCGGACGTCCGTTCATATTATAATTTATTTATATTTCAAAGAGCTCGGTTCCTTTCAAAAATTGCATGTATCGGACCTTAAAGTTATAGATTATGGTCCCTGACTCCACGAAATATCGCGTTTTCAGCTTGCGAACCCTGTAGAGATCCGATTATGACGAAGCTAAATATATGTGGTTATATCCCAAAGATCTAGATCCCTAGAGGTCATAATTGTATATTTGGTTTTAAAAAACCATTCAAATATGTCACCGTAATAACGGCTGTTTTAATATCGTGAAAATCGGACCCATATTTCCCGTTAAAATGGTCGCTCACCTTTTTTAGCAAATGGTATAAAAGCATGTAATACCAAGGTTGTGGACTCCTAGAGGTTACTTTTTTATGTGATTTTGATGAATCTGAAATAATACGTTTATATCCCAAAGTTCTCAGTTCCGGTCGATATTGGCACCTATCGAAATGTAACCGCCTGGATTACGGACCCTGACTGTATGAAAACTCGCAATTTTAGTGTCACCGTTACACCATAATTACGGTTGAGATCGAATTACCACAAAATGGCCGCGTCCCTTTACGTAAATATCATACGTATACCAACTTTGTGGACGCCACAATTTTTGTCCGATTTAGATGACACTTAACAAATATCTTGGATGAGTTCTATTCTTGTGCGCATCGGACATTTCGTGTGGAGTTATGCCCCTTTCATTTACACAAAATGTAAACTATGCCCAAAGATTTGGGCCAAACAGAGGTAACTAATTTACCCCGATTCGCATTAAACTGAAAATATTATGTTCAGGTTCACAAGATTTAGAATGAGTTCGATTTTGGTGCGCAACAAAATTTCAACTCTTTTTTTTTCCAATTCGATGTGAAGAATTAAGAATTGTGACAATGAAGGGACTATCCCTATTGGTTACCCTGTTCTCCGTCCATCTCTTGTGAAACTTGGACGTTTCTTGCATGGCAACTTCTTGTTTAAAAAGCAAAAGCTATGCAAAGAGTACAAAAGAAAGTAAGATATTGTGAAAAAAATACCTGAAACTGTTGATTTCCTACACTGAAAAAAAATTTGTGTTGGATCTCAACACAAGTACTTGTGTGAAAATTATTCTACACAAGTTATGTGTTGTTTTGCATTGCATTAACACAAACTTGTGTTCTTTTTAATGCATTAACACAAATCTTGTGTTTTTTCCATATAATTAACACAAGTAATGTGTACCGTCAACAAATATTTTTTTTTTAAATTTGAACTCCATACAAAGTCTTAATCCGGGGGTCCACAAGTAAGAGAAAGGTATTTTTTACTCAGACAATATAGCCAGACAGACTTGAATGCAAATTGGTGTTAAGATGTCTGTAGTTAAAATAAAGTTGGGCCCAATAAACTGGTAGATCAAAGGCCTGTTGAGCGCTCATGCCCGGTGTGATTTTAACAATTGACTCCAAATGCGTTGACAAGAAAATAAGTAAAACTGTTATTGAATGTGATTGGTTGATAAAATCAACGTACTATAGGCTACATTTTGTCTGCGATATCATCTCGGTGGAAGCGGACATTAAATGAAGTGATTTCACACAATTAATTTAACATTTAACAACGTGCTGAAATGATTTTGGAGCAGTGATATGTTTGACAAATGTAAGCTAACGGTCACATAGAATACAAGACCGCAGGTTTGTGAATATTTATATAAAAAAATAATACCATGTATGTAATTTAGCATCGATATTGTTTCTCTGTATAATATTAGTATTTCGTTTCCTTAAAAAAAACTCCAACAATTTAAACCGGAAGTTCATGTTTATAATATGGCGCGGTCAGGAAAAAAATTTCGGCATGTTATTATCAAATCTGTTCAATTTTTCTGAAATCATGCTTAATTAACATTAGTTGTTCGGCGCTACGATGTTATTCAAATACTTACATTACAGAATCACATTATGATTAAAGCAGAAACGGTTCGACTTGAACCAGCAGGTAAGAATCTGTTTTGAAATTATATCTTGGGAGGTTGGATTGGCGTTGGAGACCCGATTGGCGGCCATTTTGATTCTTGTTTCATGATTTTTTTTATATTATAACGATTTTGCCAAGAGTAGACATAAACGCGGGCACAGACTAGAAAAAAATCTTTTTACACTTTTGTGTTAGTTGAATTGTAATCTAATTTATGTTTAAAAAAACAACCTTAAATCTAATAAGCAGACGGAAGATATGGACGAACAACAAGAAGAAGTTATGGAGGTCCCAACAACTGAACCTATGGAAGTAGAAGAATCGTTTACAGCCGAAACCCGATACGATGTGCCAGTTCCGGTTATGGAGTCCTCCATCTCAGACGATGCCGACGTTAGTGTCTTCTGCGACGAAGAACCCGTAGTGGTGTATCACTATAAACCTCAGAATGCCTCGTTCGGCATTTCTGTCCAAACGAGGCAAAAACGTGTCAAAATTTTTGCCCCGATTTTGCCTCGTTGTAACGAGGTAAAAAAAATACCTCGTTTCTCTGGAGTTCCAAAACGTGTTTTTTTTAAATTGCCCTGTTTTTGGAACGAGGTATTTTGTTCAGAACGAGGCTGGGTAAAATTGCCTCGTTTACTAAACGAGGTATTTTATCCAAGATAATTATTAGCGGTATTTGCTGTCGACAAATAGAGCCATACAAATAATGTTCGGACCATCATGTGACCAATTGCAGATCTACAAATTAGATTATTTATTTGGGACATGATATTGTTCATAGTTATGGCTTACTACACTGGAGTTCTATTATGTATAATAAACGCTTCCCGAGCGAAACAAAACATAACAATGTCACGTGACAATATTACATATGGCGGATACAAGCGTTCTTTGATTACATGCTGTTTGGTTTGATTATTAAATAATACGGCAATCTGTATATATGGGAAAAGGAGAATGAATTTCCCCAAATCCAAAACTAGATGACTGGAATATTTATTGAATGGAAAGTAAATATTTTATAAACAAAAATATTCGGATTTGCAGTATCCTAGCTTGGATGGATTTGTGATTTGAATCTCGAACTCAGTGTTTTATACATTTTATTATAAAATTGTAATAAATGTTTTACATGGATGAATAAAATCTACAATTTAAAACAGTACAATAACATTGTGATTTGCCGCTCTACAAATCACTAAGAGTATAACAATTGCTTGTTGAAAAAGCGTTAATAATATGTTTTTTTTCCATTTATTATTTTTTAAAAATATATTCAAAAAGAATGCGTCTTTTACAGATTTCAATATAACCACAAATGGTTGATTGTTTTAATGCTAAGATAAGTATTAATGGTTTGTATTTGAAAATCAAATTATATAAGCGAAAAATAGTAAGATACATTATGTATATCTTAAAACACGCCCTTCTCAGTTACTACTTCGGCGAATATCGTTTGATAATTTAGATGATCAGAATTAAACACCGTTTTGCTATGTTATTATTTTTTTATGATTGGGTGGGGGTATACTTAATTAGGGGATTGGATTGAAAGATTATAGCTACCATCTTATGGAGACATAATGTGTGGTGCATTTACGGTCTTATAAAGCTCTATTCTTACATAAAGAATTCTTGATTCGCACGGAAGTGTTTTAGCCGTGATCATTTTAAGTCATGCTTATGCCAAGATCTGGGTAAGTGTTAATTTAACTAGATATCAGAAAAGTACCACGTTTTCATAAATGTACTCTTTAGATAAATTGTACAATATTTATCAGTTCACTAGTTACAATAAAATCATGCATTATAGCTATTTTTATTTATTTATCCCTGGTGCTTCAAATTCAATTTAGGGTGCCTCAACATATTTAAAAATATGTTTTAAAGCTTTAGGTCATTTTATTATATCTTTCTACCATAAATAATAGCCCGAATGTAGGTATACCAAAAGTTAAAGAAATATATTTAAAAATATGTTTTAAAGCTTTAGGTCATTTTATTATATCTTTCTACCATAAATAATAGCCCGAATGTAGGTATACCAAAAGTTAAAGAAATATAAACAGTTTTTGAGTCATTCAGATATGACTGCCAAAATTGTCACCAACACACATGTCGTGTTTGGGCTAAAATCTAACCAGAAAAGTATTGTCAATACATAATAAAATATATATTGCATTAATCAATTCCATTCCGCAATTGGTTTGTCTTAAACTCGTCATTTGTGTTCATGGGCATCAGGGTCGAGATGGCAACGTTATATGTTTTATTCGTCTAATTTACTATAAAACATCATTCGGTTTGCCTCACGGGTTAACGGCATATTAGTAGCTTTATTCACTGAGATGGTTCCTTTACTTATAGTTTATTTTTCGAATTGCTTTTTGTATTTATTTAAATGGAAATATTAACAACATTCTATAAGTCAATCCACGAACATACCCAATTTCAATATTTGCGTGTTGACCTTTAACATCACACTTAGATCCTGTACGCTTTGTGTCTTACAGTCAATACATGTCATGAAGAACTCTTTAGACATAATTTCGTTTATAATACTTTACTCGTTTCTATTGAGTTGTTTAGCAGAAGTAACCCATGACAACAATATGTTGAGACGACTACGTAACAGAATAGGACGATTCAATGTTATTAAAATGACACAATGACAATTTTAATTTTATTACCAACCCTTTCACAATATTTGAATGAAATATCTCACACAGGGTGTTAATCTGTTTTCAGTTTCTATTCCAATTCAATAAAACATTTAATACATGTCTTGGCTTGATTCATTATTTACAATTTAATACGTTAATCGTGTATTTTAAATAATACAGTTCAAGAGATCAAAACATTTCCGAATTTATACATTCAACATTACACGTAGACCTAAATGTATTTTTCAAATACGTGTATAAACATTTATATGAAATATATTATAAACAGATATGCTATGACCAGAGTTGCCATTATCTTTATTATTCGACTGGAAAACTCCTGTCATTCACTCTGTCGTTCGACTGTTTAGTTTTAAATACTTGTGAACTTTACTAAAACTCACTTTGTTGAACGGGTTACTTTCGTTGGTCGAACGCTTTTGTCGTTATCAAGCACAATGATAACGACAAGAGAATCATTGTTGAAACGTAGCTTTATGGAAATATAGTAATTGTTATCCATAGAACTGTTGTGTTTATTTTAATGCTGATTAGGTTATTATTAGCCCGCCAGATCAAAGACATCACTCTAGATAGAACGTGTTAAAACTCCACGAACGAACGACACAAGTTACGGGGGAACTTTGCTGCAAACATTTCTCCACACCACAACTAATCGTTGAATCGTACATTACTCATCAGTTGTTTATAATTATTTTTTACCCAATAATCAATTAGATTTGTTCACCGATGTTTTTGTAATAAAGTAGCCTCGTATTATTTGTTGATTGGCGTTTAGACAATATTTGATGGACTTGATACGAAATCTGAATATGAATTATTCGATAGATAACTTCAGTTACTACGGCGTTGATTGGCTGAGAAATGAGGGCGATCTATTGTTATGCATAGTCATTGAACAATTAAATATTCGCCGTGAATTTCAAATGGAGTTACGATATAAGTTGTTTGTGTATAGAAATGGTTATTATAATTATATATAGCCAATAATGAATATAACGACAAATTACTGGCACTATTTGTATTTCTGTGCTTATACAGAGATAGTTTGGGAAATCAAATATTATCCAAATTACCGGTAAATGGGCTCATTGCTTGGGTCGTCTTCATCTGTCACGTGACCTTTTTAAACAAAGGACGCTTAAATTGGTCTACGGCATGATAAAGCATTTTAAATTCACTCGAAAATACTCCAATCACAAAAAGTCTAATCTATAACAGTACAAGACGATAATTCGGTGATTACGATTAGGCCAGTCACGTGTTAATTGGACCGTGATGTGTATATCAGAGATATACTGTACCGGTATTGATATATTGTGTATAAATAATGTATATACTATGTGTAGTGCCTGTGACGTCACCAGCCAATCAACCGGATTAAGGTCGTAATTGAAAATTGAAAAGCGTTTTTGCGTGTCGGATACTCAAACTTCAATAGCCGAATTAATTTTAATCAGATTGGCGTGAGCTTGCCGTAAAGTGGATATAGTAACTATTGGCTACACGTAGCGAAAAAAAAATTGGCCATCTTATGTGGTCTTTAATAGGTTGTTACTCGTACTCAAATTTGTTGACTGCCCGGACGATTTAACTTATGTTTCGTTGTCTGGCAACCTACCTTTTAGAATATTAATCATCTATTTGTTGCGCCCGCTATATAAGATTTATTCAACAATGATGAGAACAAAATAAACCCTGGCCAAGTTGTATTTTATTATTAAACAGGAATTGTCATTTTATACTCCCTCGTGTTCACGTGGACTTATTATACAGTCGCTTCTGTCGGCCAGACGTCCGTGTATATGTATTTATATTTCAAAGATCTCGGTTCCTTTCGATAATTGCATGTATTGGACCTTAACTTTATAGATTAGAGTTCCTGATTGCAGGAAATATCTCCTGTTTTAACTTGCGGACCCTGAAGAGGTCAGACTTTGACGAAGCGTAATATATATGGCTATGCAAAGATTTAGGTCCCTAGAAGTCACAATTGTATATTTGATTTTAAAAACCGTTCAAATATGTCACCATAATTACGGTGAAAATCGGACCCATATTTTCTCGCCCCTGTTCTAATTTTTCTCGACCGTGTTGGATTTACCAGCTGTAACATTGTGTGATCTATAGAAACTATGTAACCACACTAGACAATATAGGTATTGTATTAATATCATAATTAGGCTGGCCATCTTTAAAACTAATGGAGACGTGTAAATTGTTATAACAAAACGTGTGATAATATGACCAAGCAATTTTTTGAGTTAATGAAGATAATAAATGATATCACGTGACACATTTCTAACAAGAACAAACATTAAGCCTTGTTACAACCCCTATTGTAATAACAACCCCTATTGTAATAAATGTAATAATTTTAATAAAATTTCCCACTAACCCCTATGGTAATATCAACCCCTATTGTAATAACTGTAATTAATGTATTTTACCATACAATAAATTCGACATCTAAATTTAAAAGTCAATGGATTTTGAAAACCCATTGAATATCAATATATAGGAGTAATGGTATACTGCATAGAATATTATGAAACAACGCGACCGAAAACATGATTAAAAGCCGTTAACGAGTTTGGAGAAATTATTAAAATAGAATGTCAGCCCATATTGTAATCAACGATATTTAACAAAAAAGTAAAATATGTTCTCTAAACTATATGTCGTCTGAGAATAATCCTCCTGATAGCATTTTTTAAAATCCTTCTCTACACTTAGACACATTTATTACAATAGGGGTTGATATTACAATAGGGGTTACACGGTATAACCCCGATTGTAATAAAATTTATGTCAACCCCTATTGTAATAAAATTTATGTCAACCCCTATTGTAATAAAATTTATGTCAACCCCTATTGTAATAAAATTTATGTCAACCCCTATTGTAATAATTGTAATAAATGTGTTTTGCCATGTCAATAAAATCGACACCTAACTTTAAACGTCTATGGATTTTGACCACCATATCCGTATCAATATAATTTTTATAAGAGTACTGGTATAAATTTATACTGTATAGAATATTATGAAAAAAAAACATCGAAATCATGTCTTAAAGCCGCTTGGAGAATTAATAAAATGGAAAGTCAACCCCTATTGTAATCAATGATACTTAAATAAACGTGAAGTAGGTTCTTTGAACGATCGGTCGTCTGGGGATTTTGAACATCTTTTCCGTATGCATATCAGATAAAATAATTCCCCTGATTCCATTTTATAAATTCTCCTCTGCAGTTAGACACATTTATTACAATAGGGGTTGATATAACCCCTATTGTAATAAACAATAAGGGTTGATAGAAATTTTATTACAATAGGGGTTATGCCGTGTAACCCCTATTGTTAAATCAACCCCTATTGTAATAAATGTGCCTAAGTGTAGAGAAGAATTTAAAAAATGCTATCAGGAGGATTATTTTATCTGATATGCACACGGAAAAATGTTCAAAATCCTCAGACGACAGAATTTTCAGAGAACATACTTTACGTTTATTTAAATATCATTGATTTGATTATAGTAGGGGTTGACATTTCATTTTAATAATTCTCCAAACGGTTTTAATTGTTTTCGGTGGTTTTGTTTCATAATATTTTATACAGTATAAAGGCATACCATTATCTTATATGTTGACACGGAAATGCTGATCAAAATCCATAGACATTTAAAGTTAGGTGTCGATTTTATAGGTATGGCAAAACACATATATTACAATTATTACAATAGGGGTTGACATAAATTTTATTACAATAGGGGTTATGTCGTGAAACCACTATTGTAATATCAACCCCTATTGTAATAAATGTGTCTAAGTGTAGAGAAGGATTTGAAAAAAAAATGCTATTAGCAGGAATATTTTGTCTGATATGCACACGGAAAAGATTTTCAACATCCTCATTTTAATAATTCTTCAAATGGTTTTGAGACATGTTTTCGGTGGTTTTGTTTCGTAATATTCTATACAGTATAAAGGCCTACCATTATCTTATATATTG